GTATTGATTAAATGTGAAACTAAATTAAAGGTCTTATGCTTTACCGAATAGTACACACTCTGAGAACAGTACACTTCTCCACTGAGAATGAATTTCGAGTTAGGACTAGATTTGTGTTTTGTCCACCAGCAATACATAAGATTCTTTCTATTCTTCTTCCGTCAGATTCTGAGGCGTACTTTTGTCTCTGGATTTTATTTTGCCATGAAGTGGTTTTGCATATTAAATGAAAATCACACCTCTTCTTCGAGGTTAAAAAAATTCGAAATAGAATAATTAATCAGCTAATGAACACACATGAAACTGGTAGGCTATTTATTGGATTCTCTTAAAATTTTCACAGGCAGTAACATACATTTTCTAGGGAAACCTACTGCAGTTTAATTTTTTTTTTTTTTAATCTCAAGAATTAATTTTAACTAAGGGATACCTAGTAATTAAATCATAATTACCACATTAATAAAATTATATTTGTACTTTCATTTTTTTAAATTATTGATAAACAAACGATCGCTAACTATTAATTAATAAGTTTGAAGATTTCGAGCCTTGTTTTATGAATAAATAAAATTATGTTTTAAAGTAAAAGAGTATTATATACCTGGACTAAATATTTTAATGAGTGAATTTATTTTACGCGGATATATAAGACTGGACAGCATTGGAATTAATCCATTTTATTGTGATAGTTGTCTAATTAAATAATTAATTATTAAACAATGCAGCCTGCCTACCTTACTGATAAGCATGCTTTCGTGGAGAATTTTTCTGAAGCAAATTTATTTTAAGCATGAGCAAAAGCATGAAACTTCACGCTACCAACCTGGTCTTCCACGAAGAAATTCAGTCTTCCGCAGCTCTAGATAGAATGCCATATAGAATCGAATTTTGTTTAATTTATGATTACTTAGTGGTTTTAAACATTTCGCAGAGGGCAGTATTTTGCCGACAGCATGATCCGAACTGTGAATTTTATACAATATGGATTGATAAGCTCAGCATAACGTTTTGAAAAAGACAAAACTGATTTTTCTTTAGCTTGAAATGGAAAGAAAGATTTGTTACTTTGTCTCCTGTTCAGAATGTGTGCGGAAAAAATGTCACCCGGAAAAAAGGGAAACGGAAAGAATGTCACCCGGAAAATAAGAAACGGGAAAAAAGGAACTCTAAAATCTCGCCAAATAATATCGCCAATCTGAGTACGGGAAAACAGCCAGAATATAATCCCCTTCCTAAATGCTTCCTAAATGCCCTTCAAAAATCCCATTCCTCAACTTATTTCAGGACCATCTTAGAACGGCAATATTTGAAGACTTTTTATTCTCTTTTCCTTGAAATATTGCCGTCTGAAACATACCGGATCTTCTGGGCAGTGTAATGACTGATTCGTTTGATGATATGTAAGAGTCCTGATAGCTTTGAATGGCCAATTTTTATGTCGGTCTCGAAAGATAAAGCAAGATAAATATTCCAAACTCCAAGATCGAAAATTGCATTGGAGGAAATATTTGGCATCCATCCACTTCAACGTTTTATCTCCCTTCGTTACGTGCAAGAACCCGGGGCCACGACGTTTAAATCGGCAGTGAAATAAAAAAGACAGACTTCAACAGCAGTTCCATAGCATTACCTAAGCCTATAAACCATTCAAACTACCGTTTTAGGATTAGAACCGCCATCCGGACTACAGATAATCTGCCTTCGCATGGATGCAATAGCTCCTGGGCTATCAGTTCGTTCCACCAGAAGATAATGCCGAATTTATTGCATCGTCTTTCCCTTCCGCACATCTTAGAAGACCCAATTTACGTATTTCTTAAACAACTCCTCCCCTTTTCACTCCCTCTTTTCCTTCTCGAGTCCACGTTATTTGTTTGTTTGTCCTTCCTTCCGCTTATCTTATTGATGTTCTTCTGTCGACATGCCCGGTCAAAACAGCTCACGTTCGAATGCATCACGATAACGGCGGACATATGCCTTTTCCATCAATGTTGTTGAAGAATGCATACCTTACTTTGTTATTTCTTTTTTTTTTTTCCCCATAGGTGATTATCCCACCTGTCTTCGAAGCCTGATAATGAAATACAGATATTGGATAATGAGTGTCAATTTTTGTCACAGGATTTAAATGTGAGCACGAATAATTATGAGGGAAAAACTATTATTTCACTAAGTGTTCAATAATATTCGCTAAAATTATACTACGCCTACCATATGAATTTATTTAAATTCCTTGCATCGAAATAAATGATCTAGTTTTATCTGCATCAGAAACGAAGAATTTTATATGTGATCTTGCGAAATGAATTAAAAAGTAAATTCCAGGCAATTAAATCTTAATAACTCATTCATTAGTTATTAATTAACTAACTTGTAACAGTTTAAAATAATTAACATTATAAAAATGGTATATATACTGTAAAAACAGTATTTAATTTAGGATTAATATCATTTAACTGCTATTAATTTATTATTCTTACTTTTCTTCCTAAGAGAATCATTCTCGTAGAATTCTAGCAGAATCATCTATTTTTCCAATTCTTGTAGAATTTTAACATCTGCTAAATTTTAATTACGTATATCCTGATGTATCATAGAAGGACATATTATTTAAAATAAATGAGTATTAATTTATGCTGTTATACACGGCTTTTTGCCTACTTACTAATTCTAAATGAAGGGGAAAAGGCAATTGAAATATTTAGTAAAATTTACAGCTCACAGATAGTAATGAAAATAAAGTTAAACTTAAAATTCTTCTGCAGGCTTGAAAAAAAACTATAGTTTTTAATTTAATTTTAAAAAACTATAGTTTTTTAATACAAGTTATAGAGGCATTAGGTACTTTTTGGAAGCAGGAAAAATTAGCAACGCCTTTGCCGGGAATCGAACAGCGGACCTACAGAATACACGCCGCGCGTGCAGACCACCACACCACAAAGGCACGCCAAGAAGGTGGGAGAAATACCTTATACAGTTACTTATTTTTTCCGATTAGTTCAGTTACTTACTTTTTCAATTTATTAAAAAGGAATGGTAAATTTAACCGAAAAACTCTCAGAGCTTGATATTGTAATTAATAAATTAACTTGTTTGTTTCCAATATTTTTTACGTTAATTTCATTAAAACAAGACAGGTCTGCGTATAGGAGTGATAAACTAAGTTATTGCGAGAATCACACTAGTGGTTGTTTACAGCTATATCTTGAACCCCTCTGGATAGGGTCAAGTAATAAATAAATTTATGTACTTAAAATACAAAGACTAAATAGATAGATAAAGTAAACAGCAAAGGGGTAGGGGGAAATCTTGGTTTATCTAAAAACTGCTACAAGACTCAAGTTTCAAAATGAATTCTAAAACATCACAAATTGTGGCCATTCATTCAGGAATATTCTTCACATCAGCAACTTATTTCGCTATACCTAAAAACGTATGATTTAAGTCAAACAAAAGGTTAAAAATTGTAAATTGATAAAAACAAAGCATATAATAGGAAGAAGAAAAGAAACAGAAAGAAAGACGGTAAAACCCTCATGATGTAAAATCTTAGAGACAGCCAGAATTAAAGATATAAGAAAAGGTGAACATTTTTGCATTTAATATGCGGAAAACAGAGGCGATTCCTTTGTTTGTTGAAAAACATTAATTTTTTTTTAAGCCCAAAGGGGTAATCTGCCCAAAAGGGCTATTAATTTCGTTTTGGCATTTTGCGGTTATTCACTATAAACGACGAATCACTTTTTAAATTGTTGCCACGAAATATTAGAAATAAAAACTGCCACTAGACTGAAGTTTCAAAATGAGTTCTAAAACGTCACAAATTGTGGCCATTCATTCAGGAATATTCTGCATATCAGCAACTTATTTCACTATACCTAAAAACATATGATTTAACTCAAACAAAAGGTTAAAAGTTGTAAATTGATAAAAAATAAGAATATAGAGGTATTTTAAGAAATACTTAAAGAATTTGTTCATATGCATTATTAAAACGGCCGTAACTACTACGGAGGCAAATGGGACAGTGCCCTTGAGCCCTGAGCTTAGGAAAGCCCAGAAATAAGAGAAAATATATATCGATTTGGCCAACTGAATGAAGATTATACACATGTAAAATTAGTGAATGCGAAACAGTGAAATTGGATGAATTGAAAATTTGCAAAATTTTCATCTCTTTTAGAAAATAAAAGGTCTAAAAAGAAATTTTAAATTTCCCTTTTTAGAAAATAAAAGGTCGTCAAAAGATCTTGAAGAAGAAATCATCAAATCGTAACCGATAGGCCTAAGGTCCATTGGCCCGCGTTTTTGATCATGACATCCGGAAGTGAAGTAGACGGATTGGAATGACGTCATGCAAGATAGTTTTATTTTTGGGGTCAACAATTTTTTTTCGAAGTTTTTAATTCTGTGCCAACGACGATTTTTTAGCTTTGTGGCAACGACGTCTTGAGGCACGTATTGAGAATGGCATCATTGTTTGAGCATGTTATTTTACAATGCGGCGTCTGCCGTATCACGCCTTTGTGTGTGTTCGCTGAAGTGAAAGAATTAATTTCTGTGGACCAATCAGATTCTCTGAAAAATAACCTTACTGTCTCTTAGCCAATCACCAATCAAATGAAATAAAGAATTCTTAACCGATATAGTGCTATCTCGAGAAACAGCCAGCATTTCTCTTCCTACTTTCTCCCTGAAAGTACACATCTTTTTCTCATTAGATAATCGTCTATCATTGTTGATTCTTCATTAGATTTTTGTTTTGATTCTTCACCGCTTCAAGCATGAATCCAGCACAGTAACGAAATAACAGCCTTACAGTTGTAAGCAACTTTTTGGAATAATGCTCTTTTTTGGAATTTTAATCTTTAAAAAATATTTGCTTTTAGTTTGCAATCTCTGCTTAATTTACCTTTACTTCTTCAGATAAATTTAGAAAACCTGTTTGAGAAATACCCGATGCCTTCGAACGATGAAGTGTTGAACGTGGGAGACTGCAACCTTATTCAAACTCAAGATAGTTCAAGACAATCTACTACCTCTTTTACCAAAAGAAAAGCAGAAGATACAAGCCATTTTGATCAAAAGTATGTATTTGCCAAAAGTTTATATTTTATGTTACCCCGTTATTTTATGCATGATAAATTGGTGTACCACATAACTTTTCATTTTTTTCCTTCATTGCAAGGGACTCTTTACTGAAGACGCGATTCCAGAGAAGCTCAATCATAGGGTAATAACATCTTTGTGGGACCCACCGTTTACAAGGAAAAAGTTACTCTGCTCATCCGAGAACATGTCAAATATGGTAAAACTTACTGCCCGACAAGACGAGGAGTGAAATTTGAGCTATGGGGTTTGAATGTTCTCTCAACCAACATGACAATGAACGAAAACAACTGCTTACACCCAATGTAGAGCTACCCAAGAGCTTTGTTATCATGTGTAATAATTCCCACTTCACTTTGAAACAATTCTTTTCTCAAAGAGATGTAAAAGGTAACCTCATCACTATGCCTATGCATTGAGAATTGATGAAAAAATTTAGCCGTACCAGTGACAATCTCACCAACCTCGTTTATTCAAATATGAATGTATGTGAAGGCTACGAAAGCGTATCCGACGAACCTATTAACAAGGAAAATCTTCCCGTACCTTTTGGCATTTCTATGGGAGTAGCATGTCCCTAAACTATTCTGAAGACATTGCTTGAAGAATGTCTTCAAAATATCCCAAACTCAAAGACTGTGAAGTCTTTGAGTTTGGGATATTTTAGGTTTCTTTGTTGCTGAATCATATCTTTTCAATCGATGTCTTCAGAATGGTTTGGAGTCATACTGTTCCCATAGAATAGCCAACAGACTAGGAAAGATATTCCTTGTTTAATAGGTTCATCGAATAAATGTTTAGTTAAAATGTTTAGATGTTTAATAGGTTCGTCGTTTAATAGGTTCTTCGCAGGCTTCACAGAAGTTCATATTCTGATAAATGAGATTTGCGACAATGTCACAGGTAAAGTGTGTCATCAGCTCTTCTCACTGCACAGTTGTAATGCTGAGGCTACTTTTTTCATCTCCTTTTGAGAACAGAGTTGTTTTAAATTGAAGTGGGAATAATTATACGCGATAACAAAGTTCTTGCCAATTCCAGATTGGGTGGAAGAAAGTCTTGTTCATTCACTGTCATGTTATTTGCGAGGATATTCAAATACCATTGCTCGAAATTCATTCCTCCTCTGGTCTGATAGTAAGATTTACCATATTTGGCATACTCTTGGATGTTATAAAAAAGACGTAACAAATAAATTACGTAAACTGGTACAAATTTTACTATATTATTAGCGGGCAAGCCCGCCAGCCTGCCTAAGAGGAGGGATGCCTTCGTGGAGCGCCCACTTTATTCACGTATGCACCCACAAGATATTCGCTAGCTCACTTGATTGCTAGCGGGCAAGCCGCTTTATTCACGTATGTATCCACAAGATACTGCATATATACATATATATGTGTGTGTGTGAGAGAGAGAGAGAGAGAGTGTGCGTGTGCAAAAATGCATGCAACGAATGATGCCACAACTAAAAGAAAACGACCTCTTTCAAAAAATACAGTTGTCCGACTCATTATCAAAGAGACCATTTGAGAGAATTAGAGTATCTCAGCTAAACTTTACCGCAAAAGTAAAGAACATTTGCAGTAATAAAGGGAAATACAAAACAAAGGCTAATAGGACCCACAGTCAATGCGTTAATGCAGTGGCTATCCCGGTCTTAGAATTAAATCCTATATGACTTTTTTTCTTCGAGTTTATTAAAGAAATATCTTTATTCCCCTCTAATACTCCGAGAACTTTCTAAAGGTTCCAGGCCAAAACATCGCGGACGAAAACGTTACGGAGAAAACAACGCAACAAGGCGAAAACATCGTGCGGGAAAACATCGCAATTCTAAAACATCGTGGTATAAAACATGGTTAGAGAATATCATGGTAAAAAATGAAGCACCTAAAAATCATCTCATGATAATAAGACAACAGACGTGATTTTCAGGATTTAAAATTTATTAATGCGCGTTCGCATGATAATCTGTGAGCGCAAGAAGGAATGAGGAATATTTTTAACTCTGTATTTCATATTTTTGAATTAAGCAATATCCTTTTTTCTAAAGAAACTAAAGCATTCAAAAACTGAAAATGAGTATAAAATTCAGGCTATGCATAAGAGTTAAAATATTTTTAACTTATGTAGTTAACTATATTAAAGGTCATCATTTAACTAATCTCTTTTATGAAGATGATTTCGAATTTTGCATGAAAAATATAGTCTGAAAAAGATTGGAAAAGGAAAGATAAATAATTGCATGATGTTAGCTACTGAAATATCGTATAGTTACCCCAGACATACTGTCATAACTGACGAATCGGCATCCAAACGCTCACAGAAAATTGTTTATAATACTTTAAGAAAACGTGCAAATTGAAACGAAGCAAGATTTATTTTTTCTTAAAATTCGTCAGTTATGACATCGGATTAATAAACTGAAAGGAAAAACAATTTGGAGTTTGATAATTAATTATGTAATTTTAATGTAGGTAACCTCATACAGTTAGCTATCTTCCTTTTCTAATCTTTTTAGACTATATTTTTCATGAAAAACTACCAATACAACTTCATAAAAGAGATTAATTAAATAATGACTTTAATAGTTAGCTACATTAGTTTAAAATTCTCCTAGTGCCATACGTAGTATCAATTTTCTACTCATTTTGAGTTTCCTTCTTGCTTTTTGAGTAAAAAATTAATTAAAAAATATGAAAAGTAGATATTTTAAAGTAGATATTAAAAGTATTCTTTCTTCAGTCTTGCGTTCGCAAATCGTTGTACAAATACGCATTTAGAAATTTTAAAGTCTAAAAAAACATGTCTGCATTGTTATCATCATGCCATGATTTGTAGGTGCTTTACTTTTAACCACGATATTTTCTACAGCGATATTTTAAAACTGGGCTGTTTTTGAACCATTTTATTTTTGACCACAGTAATAAGCAGATTTAACTGGTAGGCCAAAGGATGCTCCTAAGCGAAATTGAAAGATGAAGGAATTTTTCGTCCCTTGAGCGGACCTCTCATTCACTTCTGGTATTTAAACCCTTAACGGTTTCGTTCTTCACTTTAGCTATGCTCACTCTTAATTATTCAATTTATTTTCTTAGCGAAGTTGTGGAGGTTATTGCATTTATTTGCAAAGGTACTCCGGAAGCAAAACGCCTTGGGCCTTGGGCCAAAGGATGCCGATCGGAATTAATTACGTAACAGAAGAATCGATGACGTAAGAAGGGAACAAGTGGCGGCTCCTTTGATGTGTTGCCGCCGCCATTTTGGAATCACGTGGCAGCTGGAAGTGACATCATGTAGGATAGTTTTATTTTTTATGACAACGACAGTTTCTTTCTTTCTTTCTTTCTTTTTTTTTTTTTTTAAAGTTCTGTAGCAACGACGATTTTTTTAACATTTACTTTTAATTAATTTACTCTGCTTAATTTACCTTTACTTTTTCAGGTAGATTTGAAAACTTGTTTGAGAAAGAACCAATGTCTGAACGATGAAGTGTTGAACGTGGTGGACTGTAACTTTACTCGAACCCAAGATAGTCCTAAACAATCAGATATCCTTTGTACCAAAATAACAAACCATTTTGGGGAAAAAGTATGCATTTTCGAAAAGTTTATATTTTATGTTACGCGACTTTTTATATATATATATGTTACTTGTCTACCAAATGACTTATCATTTGTCTTCCTTTCAGTGCAAAAGACTCTTTACTGAAAACGCTATTCCAGAGGAGCTCACTCATATGGGTAATAATAAATAACATCTTTGTGGGACCTACTGTTTACAAGGGAAAAATTACTTACAAATTGTGTAAACTTATTATTAAAAAACCAGATTGTTGATAGCCTCAGTGACCCGAACAGATAGGAACCAATAGTTGAAAACATTGTTTTACCTTCCTCCCAGACACAATGCAAAATTGCACATTTTAATTTGGGAAAATAACAGGAAGGAGGGGAAAAAAATCAGAAAATGTGCTCAGTTGAAAGCATTGCTAAATAGATTCCTTGCTAAGATTTTACGCTTTTCCATTCATCACTCAAACTTGATGAATCTTGAGGATCACACATCTGTTGCATCGGTGAAGAATTGTGATAAATTGCTCGAAACCTTGACTGTCAATAGCTGACAACCTCTTTTCACGTTGATCAACAAAACAATGAGGACCATTCTCCAGCATGCAGCAGATGGTCAACTCTATAAAAAATAAAACTTTTCTCGTGGAAATCAAAATCCATTTACATGCTTGGTCGACTGAAGTTGACGTCTTATAGGCTTCAAGTTACCGAGTGAAGAAGCTTGCTTCTTCTTTTAGACTTGTCTTATCAGCCACAGATATCTAAAGCAGATTAAAGAACGTGGCAGCGTAAAGGGGACATTACGAGAGAATTCTCGGCTCAAGGAACCCGACAGAAGTTCGACAGAGTGCACATAATGTGCGCTACCACCCCACTTCCAACAAGAAGGTCGGGCCTTTGAATAATTGATAAGAATAATGGTCGGTTCTGGGAAGGGAATAGTTCCATATCTTATCTAAACGGGACTCCATTTCCAGGGGGAGCGCAAAAAGGGGGAGACGTTTCCATCACGCGCTTATTTCTTCTCCTCGTCTGTCCCTAGAAGTGTTTTTTTTTTTGGTATGTCTGTGTGTTCGGTGAAGATTACCAGGTGCGGAAGATGACGAAAACAGACGCCGTTTTTGAGGGGTGTAAAATTAGACTTGCAGAATTTTGTTACGGGTATTAGTCATTAATGCAAAAGATGATGCATACCAGAGAAGAATTCTTCAGTAAATGTTTTGCTTCTTGCGAAATAAATTTTTGAAATTTTGTTAATTTGAAAGGTGATTCTTTTTATCGGGAAAACGAATTCATAAAAAATGGAATTAACCATTGCTTGGCACTTTTCCCATTTTGACGTCAGGAGCATATATTATTCAGTTTTTTTAAGTATAAAGATAATGTTTACTTATTTCCGTTTTAATTTCTTAATACAAAATAGCATTTCCTGAATTTAAAGCTACCAGAAGACAGAAAAGAAAAGATTTATTTTTCAGATCCACTATTTTGATAAGAAAGAAACTAAATAATAAATTTTAGTATCATCCGTCTCTCAGCTAATACTATGTGTAATGCATTGAGCCAAATCTATAACGTGAAAGTTTCACCTTAAATAGCCACTGAATTTATAGTTTTTGGGATACATAGGTTACTCCAATTCTTTAAATGAGTAAGCATGTAGTACGTAAAGGGTACAGCTATCTTTTGGTCACAACCTTGGGCATAACGACTTTTTCCTAGATTTCCCAGTTTCATTCAGTGACATTCTGCATATAAGCAGCCTGCTCCCTTGCTAGCATTCAAATCTGCAGTAAACATAAATTAACTTCTAAATCAAAATGGCAAGATGGGCAACACTAAAACAAACTTATAAGAAATGGCTAGAGGTGAAGATGGGACGCTCGTAGAATGGAATCAGAGATTTCGTCTTCGGTTATTACTAATCTGTCGTGAAGATTTCCTTTCTAATGGATTTTAAGCACAGTGCTTTACCAATAGGGCTTTTCATTAAGCGAAACGGATGTATAAAAATACTTGCTTACTCTACATAAGCATTAAAGTCACATACATGCCTGTCTTCCCCGAATTGTAATCCTGGATTTTCGCCCAGATAGATGTGTCTGTTGATCCTCGTAAAGATTAAACATCTTTCTTATTTACGTTCAAGGATAACTTAGTGTCAAAACTTGATCAAGGCAACGAAGATTTAAGTAAAAATAATAACTGCTAATAATGCTTTGATATAAGCAAAATATCTTTGATTTCAAATATCGAAACATAATACCTTTAACAAATAAATAATTATTGCTTATCTGGGTATTTTTATTTAACGAAATGCTTTTTTTGGGGGGGGGGGCTGCATAAAAGTATACTCTAAAACAGAACAAGATTAAGTAATTAGAAAACATTACTTATTTTTTCTTGGCTAATAACGAAACTATAAATTAGTTTTATTCTTATTGCTACCTCAAAAGATAAAAAAACTATGTTTCAAACCTCAATTTCAAGCGAATAAAAATAGAAATCTGAATTAGCTATACTTTATTGCATCATTTGATAAAGATATACAAACGATTATGTTATTATTTGCATAGTTCCACTTCAACAAGGTGAGTTAAGACTGTCAGTAAAAAGGAGTGTTGGTCGACTTTTCGTCCCGAAAGACTTTTTAGCTAGAAGGAGAACAAGCTAAATAAAAGCCGAATATAAATATTTATTAATACGTCGAACGCTCGTTTTCGACTCGTTGAATCTGTTAATTAAAAATTCATTAATTTTCAAAATTTCGAATTATATTAGAAATAAATTTTTGAAATGTGAAATAGATTATAAAGTAAATGCAAAACACAAATTTCATACTTCCAGGTGCACATGCTCGGGTGGAGGACTACACGTTATTCAAAATTTGATGGCTCTAAGTACCGTCATTTTTTCATAGTGCTAGAAACATGCATACATTCAGGAACTAATTTATCTGCCGGTGCAAGTTGATAGAAGTAGAAGGATCGAAAATCCAAAATGCCAAGTTAACTGGTCATGTAAATAATTAAAACAAAACCTCATAAAAAATTTGGGGAAACAATTCAAAATGGTAACGACATGGAAGAATTTTCCAGAAGTTTGTTTATTAAAAAAAAAGAAAGAAAGGGGGGGGAAGAGAAAGGTTTGTTTAATTTCCTAAATTTCTGTTTTGTATCTAGAATTTGTTAAAATTGTGGCATATCGGCAAATAATTAATTAATATTTTTTGACTCTGTGATGAATGCAGATGCAGAAGGTCCATCCTTTCGTTTTTTTTTTTTTTTTAATCTTCAATTTTCACTTAACTCCAGCATATGCGGCACATATGAAGTTTCATAATTCATCTCCCCGCAAATTTATTTCTCTTCCAATGTTTCCCAGGTGAGTACCGAGCCTCTGGAAGAAGGGGGAGAAAAGAAGGGAAAACAGAGCGGGAGAAGTAGTAAGTGTTTTCCCGTTTTACCTCCTAGCAAAGAAATTGAGTTCCTACTATCTACCTTTTTTTAATTTGCCTTCCTCCAACTTATATAAAATGTCAATGACAGACTTGGGATTCGTAATTTTCAACCTTTTTGTTTATTCTAAAGTTTTCTATTTTTTTATCCCCCCTCCCCCTCTTTTAAAGGCGAAAAGTAATCTTAAACTTTTTGAGAAAATGAAAAGAGGCCGGAATAAAAAAAGACTTTTTTTCTCTCTCTTCCCCTGTCTCTCAGGTATATGATTCACAGAAGTCTGCAGGGGAAAACAGAATTTCTAAAGGGAAGATACAGACTAGTGACTCCTTTTTTTTTTTTTTTCCTCTATTTCTATTTCTTTCTTATTTTAATTCTGCATCTTTTCCCCGTCGATCTCTGACAAGAACGGCGCAGAGTTGACATTTTATGCAGAAGTAGAGCAGCAACCTTTCAGGCTAGGAATGCAACTATAGAGGAAAGAACGTAATTGGTATCGGCGTAAATTGAAGCAATTTTGTTATGTAAATAACTAGGTATTAACACATATGCTGTCAATAGTGAAATGCGCTGAGAAACAGTGGTGCTGTCCTGAATCTCTTAAATGACGGAAATATAATTAAGGGAATTTTAAAACTTAGAATGTAATTTTTTGATGTTTTGGTCGACTATGACTCTTTATTGCGATGGACGTATACAGTAAAGTGACCCCATTTTCATTGAGACAAAGCGGGACAAATGGAATGAAATGAAAATTGTAATTTAGCTATGAAAGAAGACCAATAATTCAAAAAAATATATTTTATTGTATACATTCATAATTTCTATATAAATATACAAAAATCAATTTTATTGTATACATTTATATATTGTTATAAATGTACAAAATATATTATTATTAACTATTGGTAACTAACTACAAAAAATTTGTAAAACTATAATTTGAATATTAGGTTTTAATTTAAAATTGTATTAAAATTATTTTCTTTCATTGTTATTTTTTATCCGAGTGAAACTTTGTGATAGATTCTGATCATTATTAAAATGTCGTGAAAATTTCTCATATGAATTGGTCAAATTTATTTTACGCTAATACAGATTTTAAAGTTTTAATGTTCAACTGCATTTTTCAATAGTCCATATTTATTGATACTTAAAAAACACGTTCTGTTGCTGCATTGTTCCTGGAAGGGAGATGCGCGGTCAACAGTTTTCAAACATTTTCATAGGAATATTATTCCCTTAAATGAAGAAATAACTCCGTCCATTTTTCGTGTGTTCCACATTTGCAGACAACCAATTTAATTTTTCTTCAGTAACCTATCTTTTTACCAATGACACCTCATCAAAAGTCATTCCAAAATTATTTTCGGAAAATGGTTACTAAATATATTAAAAAGATTTTTTCGCTATTCGCATAATATCCTTTTTTAATGTCACCCAATGAAAATTTTTAATATCCTCGAATTGAATTGTCCGTCTTCAAATATTCCAAGCAGTTCTTATAAAAATTTCTGACTTCTTTCAGGTCGTTTTATTGGCACCTTGTTCTTCCAACCTAGTGATATCCTTATTTCGAATAACTAAAGGAACGTAATCGTTATCAATTTTTTTTCGCAGTTTTGTTTTTAAATTATGATTTCATTGACACTTCCGTTAATTGAAATTGTCCCCTTCAATAATTTTCACAGCATTGCGAAAAATGTAGCTTGG